GAACTATGTTTAAATAAGCAAGTTAGAAATTGTGACAGTGAATGGGGTGATACGAGATTATAGGACAGGTAAATGCAAGAAGAGAGGAGAAATACGACAACTGTTCAGCAGACAGTTGGTCACTGGATCGACTTCACCTATCACTCTTGACGATTTGTAATGTGGTGCCAAGAATGGTAGGTCCTACCGACGATATCAGCCACACCATTAGATCTTCGTATTTAAAATAAATAAATAATTAAGTCTACCAGAGAATCAAAACAACTGATTCTAGTAGATGAAAGTTATGTAAGACTGGAAATCTATCAGGTTTATCGAAGCGTAAAACTAATATAAGACCATTAATGCGTGGTTGTATGAATCAGTTAAGAGTGGTTAATGCTATTTCCGTGCATTATGGGTGCAGTGGCAGTGGAGTGAAAGCAAATAATGCTAGCCAAATGACTATTAGGCTAGAAATATGCACCTGATCTGCACCCAATTCCTCCATTAATTTCTTTGCTCTGGCATCGTCAGGCACTGTCACGGTGACATGGGCGCCCCACATCTTGGCCAGCTGTAGTGAAATTAAGCCGACACCACCGGTAGCACCAGCAATCAGAACTCGGGGGCCGGCTCTAGGCTGTTGGTTTAAATGGTGAGGCAATGGTTCGAAGCCTCCAGCATCCTCCAGGGCTGACCATGCCGTAAGGCCAGAGTAAGAAAGTGCGGCTGCTTTTGCATCTGAGACAGAGGAGGGAATCAAAGCTGCGTGATTGGCCGAGCAAACGACGAAATCAGCCAGGCACCCACCGTTTGCATGACTTAAAAAAGGCCAAGTTGCCAGGGCGATGCGATCACCCGGCTTGATGTTAATGGGCATGTATGTGCAACAGGAAAAAACAAAGGGATATGAAATATAAACCGACCAAACCAGAATTTCCTACTCTCTAAGTCATCTTATCAGGTATTCCCAATGTTTAACTAAAAATATAAAGTAAAATAGTTAAGAGGATAAGATGTTAGTGGATAATGAAATAAAGTGAAAAGTATAAGAAACGTTTTACGGCTGATAAGCTCAAAAATGCATTATGAAGCTATTGATATATGGTTTAATGCATGCAGTAATTAAATAACGTAATAAGATCTCTACTCTCAGAAGCATTAAATCAAGTCTCTTTGTAAATGTAAGCGAATTCTTCTGGTTACCAGCGTCAGAGAAAAGTCTACAAATAACTGTAGAAGTAAGGTTGAAATGGGTAGATTACAAAGAAGGGTTCAAAGTCAGTCTATTTTCAATATACTGTAAACATATTATAAATTGCATTATTGTAGTTATGAGATCGATTTACGAATCTCGTAATCAGGTAATTTCACAATAAATCAGCGTAGCTACAACTATCGTTGCTATGGTAGTTGTTTGACCTTGTTTTCGCAACTTTGTCATATTGTTAGGAAAACTTAGAGGAAGGAACTTAGTCCCCAGTCCATTGTATGCATCATCATTTCCAGAGTAGGACCATGGACGTGTACATTCTTAGACGTTTCGCCGACATTGTAGTCGGCATCGTCAGTGAGTCTCGCCATTCATAGCACCATAGTAAAACTCGTCAGAGACAAGTGAAGTTCATCCTTTGACCAAACGTGTGGTAAATAGTTGTGATATCTCCCCTTCTGCCCTGGGCTATTCACTTTCCTATGTCCTATCATGCCTTTCCTATCACAATTTTTACCCTGCTTATTTTTAATTTAGTGTA